AATCCAAAATAGTTTTCATTAATCGCCTGTTTTCAAGTTTTTAAAAATGAGGATACTTCATATCCAGTCAGGATTTCTGGCTCCTGAAAAACCAAACACTCCTGCAGCCTGGGCCCCACCGCACTGCTTCCCTCTAGGCAGCCTGGGGATGAGGCTTCAGGGCGGCCCCCGCCCCCGGCCCCGCCCCCGGTGCCCGCACCCCACCTGCGGCCGCTGCACCTGCCTGCCCCAGCAGCACTGAGCCGGAGACCCTGGGACTGGCTCCTCTGGGGGCCACTCGGGGGCGGGACGGGAGGGCGTGGCCGCCTCGTCTTCACGCTTGTCTCCTGCCCCTCCCGCAGGTTCACTCAGGCCATGCGGAACCAGCCCCGGATGGACAGCCTGGACACCCCCACGGCCTACCAGGCCGGCCTCGTGCTGCTGGGCGCCGGCAGTGTGCTGGTGCTGTCCAGCTTCTCTGCCCTGGGCTTCACCGGGACCTTCCTGGGTAAGACCCGTTCAGGGCCCAGGAGAGGAGCCGGGCTGGGGCACCTTCCCCTTCGGGTCTCGTCCAGCTGCGTGGCTGCAGGCCAGGCAGGGCGTTGGCCTGCTGGGCTGGACCGTGCGCCGGGCTGGAGTGGAGGGTGGGGCCCCCGTCCCTTTCTGCCTGCAGCTCTGGGGACTCTGGGCGGGAAGGCCTCATGACGTCAGTGACTTCCAGCAACTTGGGAGCCCAGGAAGGGAAGCGACAGGGATGGCTGCAGGGCGAAGGTGACCTTGGGGTCAGGGAAAGAGGAGGCGGCGGCTGCTGCCCTCAGGGAGCCCTCCCAGCAAGCACATGGCACCCAGAGCTGCCTGGCACCCTGATGGGCTGGGTCAGAGGTTCTTGGGCCCTCCCCCCGCCCCAGCCCTGGCCAGCGGGGACTAGGCCTGTGTCGCCCAGGCCTGGGTGGATCTGGTGCCCCTCGCTGTCTGGGCATCTCTGTGCGGTGCTTCGGCCTGGGCTCTGCAGGGCGCAGCAGGGTCCCAGCGCTCAGGGGCGTGTGTTCTCAGCCCACATGGAGCAGCCCTCCTTCTGCCCGCAGCCAGGCCTGGCTGGGACTGTGGCCAGGCGGTGCCTCCTGCCTCGGCAGGAGCTGTAGGGAGCCTGGGCTAGAAGAGGGTGTGCAGCAGGGAGCCCGGGGGGAGGTCAGGAGCCTGGTCTGGCAGGTGCTGGTGGGAAGGCACGAGCCAGCGGGAGGCAGGCAGGTGGCTGGTATGCAGGGGCCAGTGGGGCCAGGGCTGGAGGCTGAGTGGGGCCACATCTCTCCGTCCACAAATGCCACACAGGCGCTGAGCTCCAATCCCAGGGGGCAGGGGATGTGCGAGGGGCTGGGAAGGTCCTGTCTCAGAAATGAGAAGGTTGGACTGCTGGGGCTGACACCCCCGGCAGGGCCAGGGTGAGGCCACAGGAGGGCGGAGGGCACCGTGCTGACTGGCTCATCGTCAGGGTGGGAGGGGGACCCAGCGGCTGTGCGACCCCAGGAGGAACGGACTGGAATTGCTTGGGACGTGGGACACGTGCTCCCTGCCCTCAGCCCCAGCACCGGATGCCTTGCCACTGCCTCAAGCCACCGCCCGCTTCCTGCTCCTGGAAAGAAAGGCCCCCCGGCCCTCCCTGCCTGCTCCTTGGTCCCCAGACAGTGGGGACCCACTCCTGCCGGTTCCTCCCGCCAGGGCTGCCCTGCTTCTGCCTGGATGAAGGGCCAAGGGATTCTGTGGGGAGGAGGCCATGGCTCCAGGGCAGGGCTCATGCCCTTGAGGGTCGCAGGTCAGGCCTGCTGCACGCCAGCCTGGGACTCCCGGAGGGGGAGGGCGGCCGGGCCATGCCGGCCCCTCTTGGTGATGGTCTGGTCAGGAGGTGAGCCTTTGTCCTGCCCCACCTTGTCCACAGGTGATTACTTCGGGATCCTCAAGGAGGCCAGAGTGACCACGTTCCCGTTTAACATCCTGGACAACCCCATGTACTGGGGCAGCACAGCCAACTACCTGGGCTGGGCCGTCATGTGAGTGGGTCCCTGCCGGCCATCCCCACGGAAGGCCGGGCACCAGGCAGATGTGTGCCTTGGGATTACTTGTCTAAGACACAAACACCATCTAGACTAGAAGAGGGCTGGCCAGCTTCCCTCACGGGCCAAGTGAGGCGGGCGGACCCAAGCGTGAGAGGGGCTGCCCATGGAGCCAGCCCTGCCAGCGAGGAGCAGTGTGACGGTGTCAGCAGGGACGCCGACGTTTGAACGTCATACACTGTCCAGGCGTCATGAAATATTATTCTTTTGATTCTTTTTTAACCACTTGAGGATGTACAGCCAGCCTTGCCCATGGACGCCAGCCCGCCAGCCCCGTGCAGTCAGTCCACGCGAGCGGGCGGCAGGGCTCCCCAGGGCCCGTCTGGGAGCTGGTCTGTGCCCGTGCCCAGCACACAGAACTCTGCCCCCCGGAGGGAGTCCCATGCCTGGGGAGGGAGTGCCACCGGCCTTCTGCGGCCTGCCTCAGCCGGCCAAGGTCAAGGAGCCGGAGCTGTGCGGGGACGGCTGCAGGCTCTGGGCTCAGGCCCCGCCCTCCGAAGCAGTTTGTCTATTGTCTGTAGGAAGTGCCCTGCTTTTATGTAACCAGTGAAGACGCTTGCCTTGTGCTCCCGGAGAACCAAAGGGTGAAATGTCAGGATTGCGATGTCCTTGCTATGCCCCGCCCCAGAGCACTGGGCTTTGAGGGACAGGAGCCAGGGGGCTTCTGGCCAGGACCCCCCCCACACACCCCAGCTTCACTTCCAGACCAGACAGCCCCGGCCCCTTTTGCCCGACTTGGACCCGAGCCAGCCTGGACGGCAGCACACTGGCCAACGGGTCAGGACCTGGACGGCGGGTGCCTGGTCCGAGAGAGAAAGCCAGACACTGGAAAGAGGCCACGGCTCCACACAATGGCCGCAGGACCCAGCCTGGGGGAGGGGCACCCAGTGCCAGGCTGCCCACTGATTGCCTGTATCTTGTCCACAGGCACGCCAGCCCCGCCGGCCTGCTGCTGACTGGGGTGGTGGCCATCGTCTACACGGCAGCCACCCTGTACGAGGAGTGAGTAGGCGCCGCCAGTCTGGGCCGGGCTGCTGTCTGCCATCAGCCCGCGAGGGAGGAGGCGGCCTTGCCTCCCCTTCAGGGCTGTTCCCATGGCCACCGTTCCCATGGCCACCATTCCCATGGCCACCGTTCCCATGCCCAGGACAGGCCAGGTCAGCTGGCCACGGCCGGCACTGACACAGTGGCAGATGGGAAGCTCAGAGAAGTCACCGTGGGGGCTGAGGGCCCGGACAGGCAGTGACAGGCAGCCACTGGCCCTCCTAGTCCTACAGGGGCACCTTCACTGTCCGTGCTCCAGGGGGGCAGGGCTGGGTGTCAGCATCAGCCCCAAGGCCAGCTGACCAGAGCCTGTCCTCCTGCCCCTGCAGGCCTTTCACTGCTGAGATCTACCGGCAGAAAGCCTCCCAGTCCCGCAAGAGCCACTGACGGGCTGCCCGGCATCTTACCTCCCTCCGGCCTCCCCGGGGCTACGTCGAGACAGCGAACGTGCCCGCTGCTGCTCATGCCCGCTGGCGTGGGCCCCTCCAGTGCCTTGGAAACCGCTGCCGTGGGACCTCGGACCTGCTACCATGTGGCCACTGAGCCCTTCCTACTGCCCACCGTGTCTAACTCCCCAATAAAGGCCCCTGACCCCAGCGCCTCCTCTTCTGCTCCTTCCCTCGGGTGGAGGTGATCACACCAGCCAGCGGCCCGACCCCCCCCCCCCCCCCAGTGCCCCTGTGAGCTGCCCTCCAGGGGAAATGGTCAGAGAGAAAACATGCTGAACTAAGTGACAAGAAAGCGCCCGGTGGAAGTGGGAGCCACGTCAGCCGTGATGGTCAGGCCAGGCCTCGGGCGCATGTGAGAGGAGATGCGAACTGGAGGGAGAATGCTGCAAGCAGTGGGTGTGGCAGGTGCCAGGGCCCTGAGATGAGGAAGGACCAGCTAGTGAGGGCCTCAGCCTCAGGCACCTGGCCCCTAGGGTCAGGCCAGGGGCTGGCGGGGCCATGATGCTTATTTTCTCTGTACCCCAGGCTGCCAGGTCCAGCCGGACCAAGCTGGCCCTAGAAACAGATGACCTTCGTGGGGGTGATGTGAAGGTATCAGGAAAGTTCCAATGTGCGGCCACCTCCCCCACCGGCCGGCTGCCTGACCCTCTCGCTGGAGGGCTGTCTCCGGTGGAAATGCGCACGCGCCTGGAGGTGGCAGGTGGCAGGTGGCAGGCCAGGGGAAGCCACTGGCCCACTTCTGTCCGGGCTAACTTCTCTGAACGCACAGGCAATGCTGGAGGGGCGGTGGGGGCCCACAGGCACGTGGCGTGCCCTGCTCTGGCCTGCCCTGCACGGGCGCTCTCGTGAAACACACACAGGCTGAGGTCACCCCGTTTAGCAGCCGAGGATACAGGGCTCAGAGAGGCTGGGTGACTTGTCCCTGGGGACACATGAGTGTTAGCATGTGACCCGGCTGGAACTCAGGTCTGTCCCACCCTGAGCCCACGCCTCCCTCTCCCTGAGGTGAGGAGCTGGGGAGAAATGGGAGCTCTCAGTGGTGTCAGGGAGGACTTCCAGCAGCTCCCCACTGCCCCCGCCTCGGCAGGAGTTGGCATCTCCAGTTCCTCCAACACTTCTAGTCCCTCACAGACCTCACGCAGCCACCAGGAGTGGGCCGCACACTGGCCTGGGGCCTGCTGAGGGAGCCTGGCGCAGCCCTGAAGATCGGCAGCCCCTCCGAGGGCCAGGCCTGGTCTCACCCCCCCCGCCCCCCCCGACGGCAGCCCAGGTGCGAAAGGACACCGGCCACGGGCCTGTCGCCCTCGGTCCTCTCCGGGCTCCTCTCTGGTTTCTCTCTCGGCCTGAGAGGCCACAGAGGCATCTAGTCGGATCCCCCCCCCCGTGCCCCCGTCCCCGCCTGTTGGCACCCCCTCCAAACAGGGCGCTCACTGCCCACAAGCCGCTCTGCGCACACAGCCTTGGAGGAGGACCTGGCCCTGACCGCCTGAGCCCTTCCTTTGCCAGCGCAGGAGCAGCTCCAGGCAGCCTGACCCCCGGGCCCAGGCTGGGGCCCGGCTGGCTCTGCCGGAAGGGCCCGCGGACAGGGACGAGCGGGGCGGAGGAGGAGACTGCCGGACTCTGCTGGACAGAGGGAGCCCGTCAGACGGGAAACCAGGCTGTTTGTCAACAAAGGTCACGGAGACCAAGCCAGTGCTTGAAGGGGGAAACTTGCTCCAGTGAACAGCCCACATGAAACTGGGAGCCACAGGAGCGCGTCCTGCTGTCGGGTCTAATTTCATGCAGGTGATCCCAGTGCACACAGTTTGATGGGTCCGAATTGCACTGTTATGACTGGTTGTCATGGAGCTGGTCTGATTGGTCACTAAAGAAGCAAACGCGGAGAAAGCTGCACAGCTTCCATCCAGGGACGGTGTCACCCAGGCCGCTGGCCAGGGCGGGCGTGCAGGAGCCCGAGTGCGGTCTGGGGAGGCCTCTGCGAGCCCGGCTGCCAGCCGCCGGTCACCTCCGGGTCCTCTCGGGTGCTTTCCTCGGGACGGGCAGTTGGGTCCTTTTCCTCTGCTTCAGGCAGCAGCCACGGCCCGGGAGCCAGGCAGCTCAGAGCCCTCTGTGAGGCTAAGGACGGGCTTGGGCTCGCACTGACGGTGCACGGACACGTGTGCTCGCCGGAGGTTTCCGCACGCCACCCCCGCCCAGGGGCCCTGCCTGACAGGCTGCTCACACACAGCTTTCAAGAACCTTCTACAACCTCTAGGCCACCCACAGGCAGTGGCAGATATGGCCTGCCTTGGAGGCCAGCTGTGCCCCGCCCCCCCCCCCAAACATTTGGTCAAATATTTTTATTTATCTTTTAAATATGTTTTTATTGATTTCAGAGAGGAAGGGAGAGGGAGAGAGAGACAGAAACATCAATGATGAGAGAGAATCACCAATCGTCTGCCTCCTGCACACCCCCTACTGGGGATCAAGCCTGCAACCCGGGCATGTGCTCTTGGCCGGAATCGAACCTGGGACCCTTCAGTCCACAGGTCAGCGCTCTATCCACTGAGCCAAACCAGCTAGATCTGGTCAAATATTTTTAAAAGTTCCCATTCCACTCTTAGCAGGAAAATTGCTAGATTGCAAGTAAATTACATTTACAGGCAGGTTCAGCCTCAAATGCTGTTGGTTGCCACACACACAGAAAACAAAACCACCTGTAACCATTATGTACCTGACAACATAGCCCAGTGCTCTGCGGCAGGACGTGGGGCGGCGGGCCCTGTGGGCGGGCGGCGGCCCCGCTGGGCTGACCGCGGGGCTCAGTGTGGAAGACACTCCACACTCGGACTGTCCCGCCCAGCGCAGTGCTCCCTTAAGCAGCTGTGAGGCGGCTGCCTCGAGGGAGTCTGCCTCACTCCCAAGGGCTGGGGCAGGAGGGCTCTCGCTGCCGATTCCCTTCACTGCATTCTTTTCTGAAGCTTTAGATATTTTAGAAACATGAACAGGTATTACTTTTTAAATAAAGAGAGGTAGGAATGAAGCAGCCCAAGCTAACAAATGTCCCCTCTGCTTTCTCCCTGCGGGCACGAGGGCCCCAGCCAGACATGCAGGTGGTCAGGCTCACAGGCTTTGGGCATTAACGGGGCTTAATGAACTCAGCAGCCTTGGGAGAACAAGCCTTACAGCCTGGCCTCTGTGGGGCAGGGTGACATGCCCAGAAGGGACCAGGAGTCCTCATCTGAGAAGCCCAGCTGGGTCCCAGCCCACTGCATCTCTGAGGGAGAGCTGGGCTCAAGCCCTGGACCCACCACCCTGTGCCTCCCAGGACTGGCACCCCGTGGAGGGTGGGATTTCGCCGGGACCCTTGTCAAGGTCTTGAAGAGATGATCATTGAGCGCCCCTTCCCAGGCAGCTGAGGTTCGCCAGGCCTGCAAACAGCTGAGGGGTGTGGGTGGCACCCCCAGGACTGCCCATGGCACCCTGAGCCACGTGGATGGAGTGGCACCAGCTAATGGCTCCCTCCTTAGATTCTTCCAAATTCGACGAGGTCGAAGCAAAGCAGCACAGACTCCCCTGGCGCCGGAGCAGCTCAGGCTTTGCCGTGGGCTCTCAGCTGAGCACTGCAGACGGCCTGCGCCAGGCCTGTAAGCAGCATCAGCCTCTCCTGGTTACTCATCAACCTGCTCCCCTCACCTGCTCCTCACCGCCCCCACCCGCCCGGCCCTGCAGCCTCCTGGGCCACTTAGCGCTGTTGTAATGACCAGTCCTGCCTTCTAAGCTTTTTGCACTTGCTCATCCACAATCACAACAGGAACCACCATCTTCCAGATGAGGAACCCCAGGCCCAGAGAAGGCCAGAGGCTGTGCTGTGAGCAAGGACCTTCCTTGGCTCACTCTGGCGTGGAGACCCCGCTCCCAACCATAACATGGAAATGTTCGCCCGGGGGCTGGAGAGGCACACGATGCAGAGGAGGGAGAGGGTGTTGACCAAGGAAGGGCATGTTTCTGGTCCTTTTTGGGTTGCAGACAGGAGGATGGGGACAACGCCAGGCCCCAGAGATCTCTTCTCCGAAGAAAGAAGCGGCCGAGGTCTGCAGCAGGCGCGGCGCGGGGCGCCCTGACATCCCCAGGGCAGTGACCAATTCTCCCCAGACCCCAATCTCGCAGCTCCGACCCCACTCCAGCCGTGCGGTGCCCTCTGCTGCCCTCTGGTGGCCAAGCACCAGCCCGGGGCCGGGACGGGGCCGGCGCTGTGGCTGCTTTCAGGTCTGACAGGTGAGGTGCCCGGAGCAGGGCACCTGGTAAGTACCCGCCACGGCGCGGCTGTGATCCCGGGAGCGCTATTGTTCTCGGGGAAAACTGAGGCCCAAAGAACGTGTGTGCGTGTGTGGATGGGTCCCTTCCCCAAGTCACAGGGGGTTAGGGCACAGCCGGCCGCAAACCCGATCAAAGCGCGTCCCTAGCCGAGCAGGGTTCTGGGCTCCGCTTCTCACCGCCCCCAGAGCGGGAGGAGCGGGCTGCGGCGGGGAGGTCACGGGAGGGAGGGCGGGGGGGGGGGGGTGGCGGGGGGTAGGCGCGGGGCGTGACGCACGGAGGCGGGGCGGGGCGGCCGCCAGACTGCACATAAAGGCGGGTCGGGGCGCGGAGAGCCAGAGCGACTCTGCCCGAGAGGCTAAGGCTGCGAGCCCAGCCCGGAGCCCAAGCAGAACCCCAGCCACTCGGCGCTACTCTCGCCCTGCAGCCCCTCCGCCCAATGAAACTGACCGCGATGATCAAGAAGATGTGCCCGAGCAACTCGGAGCTGAGCATACCGGCCAGGAATTGCTCCCGCCTGGTCATCCTCGGCTCGTCCAAGGTGGGCAAGACGGCCATCGTGTCGCGCTTCCTCACGGGCCGCTTCGAGGACACCTACACGCCCACCGTGGAGGACTTCCACCGCAAGTTCTACGCCATCCGCGGCGAGCTCTACCAGCTCGACATCCTCGACACCTCCGGCCACCACCCGTTCCCCGCCACGCGGCGCCTCTCCATCCTCACTGGTGAGCGGGGGCCCGGGCCGGGCAGCGGGAGGGGGGTGGGGGGTGTTGATGCAGCTGTGCCCCCGGGAAGGAGGGTTGGAGACCCCTCGTCCGAGAGCACTGGCGAGGGCCCGGGTGCCCAGTTTTCAAGTTTGCGCGTGGAGAGGTCTGAGCACCTGGCGCCCGGCTCCTGGCGGCTGGGCGACCCCAAAGCCAAGCCCACTTTAAGGGCCCCCTCACCTCCTCTCCTGCTCTGCCCCCGCAGGAGACGTTTTCATTCTGGTGTTCAGCTTGGACAACCGCGAATCCTTCGAGGAGGCGCAGAGGCTCAAGCAGCAGATCCTGGACACCAAGTCCTGCCTCAAGAACAAACCCAAGGGGCGGGTGGACGTGCCCCTGGTGCTTTGCGGCAACAAGGGCGACCGGGACCTCCACCGCGAGGTGGAGCCGGCCGAGGTCCGGCAGCTGCTGGGCGACGGCCCCCAGCGCTGCGCCTACTTCGAGGTCTCGGCCAAAAAGAACAGCAGCCTGGACCCCATGTTCCGGGCGCTCTTCGCCATGGCCGGGCTGCCCGGGGAGATGAGCCCGGGCCTGCACCGCCGCGTGTCCGCGCAGCACTGCGAGGCGCTGCACCAGGCGCTGCGGGGCGGGAAGCCGCTGCGCGCCGGCGGCCCGGGGGGCGCCCTGGGCATCGTGGCGCCCTTCGCGCGCCGGCCCAGCGTGCACAGCGACCTCCTGTGCGTGCGCGAGAAGGCGGGCGGCCAGGCCAAGGACAGGGAGCGCTGCGTGATCAGCTAGGGCTCCCGCTTCCCGAGGCCGACAGCAGGACCGAAGGAAGACCCTGTCGTTTAAAAGTCAAAGCCAGGTCCGGGCCGGCCCTGAGCTTCAAGTGTCCCTGCGTCTTCCCTCCCCAGAGCCCGGCCCACCAACTGGGAGGTGAAAACGGAGGAGGGCTGGTCATCTGCTTTGGAAGGAAAGCGAACTGGGTCACAGGTGGGACCCACCCCCACCCCACGTCTGAGCGCCCACTGGCACGCACCAACCCCTGCGCCCTGACTTGGTGGGCACAGGTCCAACAGAGGGTGAACTTGCCCGGTTTCTCAGAGACCCAATAGTTGGGAAGGTGTGTGTGGAAGTGAATCAGCCACCGCTGGGCTCCCAGAAGCCGTCCTGCCCGCCGCAGGGTAAGGGAGACCAGGGCATTCACCTGTCTGCGATTGGGCTGCCGTGGCAGCTGGAAAAAGCTTTTGCCCTGAAACTAAGGGGTCAGATCAGCCAAGTGACTTGTTTACATGTGTGTGTGAAACTGCACAAGGAAAAAACTTCGTGAACATGAACAAAACCTTATCCAGTGTTTATACTGTGAGACCGTCTGTTATTGTTACTGGTTATTTTACTATAAAATAATTTAAAATGAAAACCATGCTTTCTTTACTTTTATAAATGGGCCGAGGGGCAGGGTGAGAGGGAGGAGTGGGCTTCTACGTGGTGGCTTAGGCTCCCCTTCCCAGCCCTGGAAAACGCACCAGCGTTCTGAGCAGCTTCAGCTCTCCTGGGGGAAGAGGCTCTAGGAAAGTTCCGGATGGCTGGGCGGAAGCCCTTCTATTTGGGGAATGGGTCCTTTGAAATCGAGGCCAAGAAAGGATTTCAAAGTCCTCTCTTGAGATGCATCTTTCTAGCCATTTCCTGCTTAGCTTCCCCGAGACCCAGCCACAAAGGGCCCCAGGGGCTGTGCCCAACTGTGTGTCCAATACTCAGTACAGGCCCCGGGTGACAGAGGTCTGGAGGTGTCACTGGCCCAGCGTTCACAAGTAAGGAGGTGGAGCCTGCCCGTCTGCCCTGGGGAGGGGTCCGGCGCGCTTCTCTGCTGGCTCCTTTCCTCAGGAGAGAGGCGGCCACTCTCGGCTCAGGACCCCTCTTAACTGTTCGAGCCTGGGGCAGCGACACCTGCCAAGCCCCGAATTCTGTGCCAGGAAAATACAGAGAACGCCCTTTGCGTGGAGTTGCTGTGAGAATTAAGTGTGATGTTTAAGCCGCTGTGGCTGTTGGTTGGATGCTGTCCCATCCTGTGCACCAAAAGGTCGCTGCTGCAATCTGCGGTCAGGGCACATGCCCAGGTTGCGGGCTTGATCCCCGGTGGGGGGGAGGGCCTGCGGGAGGTGGCCCATCCATGTGAGAGCTGAGAGCAGAACATCGATGTTTCTCCCTCTCTCTCAAATTAATTTTTAAAAATCTTTAAAGAAATAAAAAGTGCCTGCCACCCAATAATCCAAATCATCGGCTTCCGGGGGTGTTCGGCCGGTCAGGGGCATTCAATACTGTCCCGGGGGAGGGACTGCCACCTCGCTCTGGTGAGGGCTGCTCCCTGCCGGGACTGAACCCCTTATGGAATGAGGGGTGGCCTTGGGCCCATCATGGGCGGGCAGGGTGACCCTCCAGGCAGCAGGAGTTGCCGCTTCCACACTGTAACGTGTGTGCTGGGGGGAGGGGTGCGGAGTGGAGGTTGCCCCTTTGTCTTCTCTAAGCAAAGGGAACACATCCAGTGCCCAGGAGACATCCTGTTATGAACGTCTCAGTACAAAAACTAAGATGTCCTGAGAGCAGAGCAAAGTGCTTTTAATGACGCTCCTGAAAACCACGACGCCCGGGACGCTGCATCCCATGTGCCTCGTGCTTCATGGTATTTGGTCAGAGCCTTAAAACTGGCCCCACACTACTCTGAAAGTCCAAGAAAATAACTGATTCAGTTAAAGCACAGTCCCAACGTAGAAGTCTAACAGGTACTACCCACCTCAATGCAGAGCCGGCTCCTCTGTCCAAAGCCACAGAAACCGGATCCCCCCCACAGACCCAGCTCCCGCCCCGCCCTCTTCTGGCAGGTGGCTGCAGGGCCACCGACCGAAGCCCTGCTAAAAATATCTCCACCGTCAGCACCTGCCGGCCAGGCCAGCAGCAGGCAGCTGCTAAGCCCCAGAATTGTCAGCATAGGTTACGCACTCATTTCTAGATTCAAATAATATTTGGTTACTAGTCTCACCTTATCCTTTAAGAGGCCAGGGACGCGCATGAAAATAAAACGTCCCACCTGCAGGAAATTAGGGGTGTTTGTAAACATTTCATGAACCAGAGCTTGGCTGCTGAACTTTGGGTTTAGCACGCCCCGCCCTTCAGAACTGTACCTGGCCCAGAGACGGTCACAACTGTCACCGAGCCGCCCTTCGGAACAAAAAGTCCATCATGACCTGCCTGCAGCACAGCAATGTTCGTGCTGGCTCTTTAGCGAGGCCAGAGAAATAAACTTTCAAACCAAGACCACGGAATCTGAGACGCTGGAAGAGGCCGGCTGTTTGCCGGAAGCCCGCCTGTGCCTGCGTAGAAGCGACACTCATCCCAGCCCCAGGAGGTCTGAAGTGGTTTGGCCACTCTTGGGCATTAAATGGCTAAACGAGATGCCTGCAGACGACAGGAGACAAAGGGAGCAAGAGCTGAAAGTGAAAAGAGCATGTAGGTGGCCGAGAACCTGACAAGGGGCCACCGGCAGGCAGCTGGCCGACCCCCCACGGACAGTTACACTCACTGGCTCAAACATAAAAGGAAAGAGTTTCAGGAGAAAACGTCTTTTAAAACTGCTTTCTCCCAGCCTTCCTTCACCATGTTAAGCCCACGCCACACGAGCCCAGGCCTCATCTGCCAGCGAACTTTGTGCAAAGGCTACACAGCATGCTGTTAACAGAATGCTGTGGCCCTGGCACACACTGATCATGTCCGGGGGGAGAGAGAGGGAGGCAGGAAGCAAAGCGGAGATGGCCCCTCCCCAGAGGCAGGGCAGGACCCTCTTCTTCCCACCGGCAGGCACTCCAGCTATTACGCATCGAGACACGCGGGCACATGGAAGGAAGCCCCAGCCACTCCGAGCTCCAGGCCACCCCTCCCACAGCCAACGTCAAGTTCAGCCGAGGAAGCAGCACAACAGCCTTCCCGCCACTGGGCTGTCACGTTCAGAGCTGGGGTCCAAAGAACCACACTTCATAGGGAGCCAGTCCGGGCCACTTGCTCTCCCGTGCTTTCTCGGGCATCCTGAGCGCGGCGGCCTCATCTACTCCTTGGGGATCTCAAACATGCAGAGGCTCTTGTACTTCTGCAGAAGTTCGTTCTTGGTCCTGACTTGCTCCCGGAGGCTGTGCAGCTGTTGCTGCTGCTGCTCAGGGCTCAGGTGGATGCCGGGCATGGTGCTGATGACCTTGCGCGTCTCCTGGAACTTGGTCTTGAGGGCGTTGAGGTCATGGTGGATGTCCGGACTGTCCTTGTCCATGCTGCAGGGTCAGAGGGTAGATATTAACACTCGCTGCTAAGGCTGAGACACCCGGCTCCCTCCTCTGCACCCCACAGGCCTTGTAGACGCCTGGTTTCTGCCGGTCCCCCTCCTGGGCTGTGCACCAGAGGGCAGGGCCTGGCTCTCTCATGCAGCCTTAAGGGGGCCTGTGACCGCTGCTCAGGAAAAGCCCCAGCGCCGAGCAGCGCCTGTGCAGCCCCTCCCATAGCACGTGCGCAAAATTAGATGCTTAATGTCTGTTAGCTACGAGGGAGGACTGTCCACCTCATTCCCAGCTGCATCCCATGCCAGGGCCAGTCCCTGAGCACTTGGGCACTCAAGTAACATCTGTTCAAAGAACGAATGCTTGGCAAATAAGTTCATAAGTGTCTGCTGAACAAATGAACAAACCATTACCAATATCAGGTGACACACTGCAAGAAAAATTTGCTGAAATGTTACATTTCTTCTCATTTCAGCCATTTCCAGGCCAATCGGGAGACTGTCAGCCACTTTTAGCAGACGGTTGGATACTTGAATCTATTAACATAAAGACTAATTCCCACAGAGTTATTAATAGTTTAAATTTAAATTATTTAAATTAGTTAGAAACTATTGGAAATGTTTCAGAAGGCACAGCTCTCTACCCGTGTATAAACTCCTGCCTTCAGGTCCAGCTCATTTTAAAGGCAGGAGCCTCCACTTCATCTCACAGCTCTTAGCAGCTGCCCAGAAATCCAGGCCCCCGTCTCCACTGACTTCAAAACAAACAAGAACAAAAACCTTTGCCTAAGATCAAAGAAACAGCCTAACAGTTGCTCCTATACAGCATATATACAGCATATATACACCATATATATATACCATATATACACCATATATACACTATATACACCATATATACACCATATATATACCATATATACACCATATATACACTATATACCATATATACATACTTGTGTGTGTGTGTGTGTGTGTGTGTGTGTATGTATATATATATATATATATATATATATATATATAAAATTTATTTATTTTTTTTTGCCCTAACTGGTTTGGCTCAGTGGATAGAGCGTCGTCAGCATGCTGACTGAAGGGTCCCGGTTTCGATTCTGGTCAAGGGCACATGCCCGGGTTGTGGGCTCGATCCCCAGTAGGGAGCGTGCAGGAGGCAGCCAATCAATGATTCTCTCTCATCATTGATGTTTCTATCTCTCTCTTCCTCTCTGTGCCCTGACTGGGAATTGAACCATGACCTCCTAGTTCATAGGTCAGTGCTCAACCACTGAGCCATGCTAGCCAGGCTTTATTATTATTTTCTTAATGTGTTTATTTTTTATTGATTTGAGAGAGAGAGAGAGAGAGAGAGAGAGAGAAAGAAACATCAATCAGCTGTCTCCATACACATCCTGACCAAGGATTAAACCGCAACCTGGGTCTGTGCTCTGACAAGAACTGAACCAGTGACCCTTTGGTGCACTGGATAAGCTTTTGAAAACAAGCAGTTGAAACTAAAAACTAAAATCCAATTCAGTAGGTGGTTCTAAACATCATCCTCCATTGAGGCATAAGAGGGGAAAACTGTCAATGATTTTTAAAAAATATTTTTATTGATTTCAGAGAAGAAGGGAGAGGAAGGGGGGTAGAAACATCAATGATGAGAGAATCATTGATTGGCTGCCTCCTACACATCCCCTACTGGGCATTGAGCCCGCAACCCAGGCATGTGCCCTGATTAGGAATCGAACCGAGACTTCCTGGTTCACAGGTCAATGCTCAACCACTGAGCCACATCTTAAAAAAAAAAAAAAAGTTTTGTGGGTTTAAAAAAAAAAAAAGCTGAGCCAATGATCTGTTTTAAAAATAAAAATAAATGTTCAACCCTAGTGGGAAATTTCAACCCAGACGGTGCTAATTCATATTTACTACTCGTTTCTCTGCTTATGCAGACACAAATATCCACCTTTCCCGGTGATCCATCAGGCACAGCTCACGCTGGCGAATGTGTCAGTAGCTCTAACTCAGAGGCCAGATGTGGAGACTCAACCATTTACCCTAAGAAATGAAGGGCCGCCCCTTTCTTGTCAGCTGAGGCCCTCGATGTA